TAAGCTTTTGACAAAACATGTGCTTTAAAGTGGGCAAAAAATACTATCAAATACTGGACGTAATTTATGGATACAATTGTTACCCGGCTTGATTCAACTTGGCTTAAATTAAATGCTGCGGTAATATTGAAATTGTATATATGTTAGACTGCAGTGACTTCTGGAGCCGTCGGTCGACTAACAGATCACACCAAATACACGGGTTCTCACAAACAGAGGTTTGATGAGACCGGTAAAGGAAGGGGTAAAGCCGGTCGCGTAGACATCCCTAAAACCAGTGGATATGTAACCGGATATAAGGAAGAAAGTCAATGAACAAAACACATTCATTGCAATAATATATACTTAATTGTACACTAAATACGATATTATATTGTGTTTTTATCACAAGATTTTGTTGGTTTTGTCGTCAAAATGATCACATTATAGCCATCATAATTATCTTTCGCCATAATATCTATAGATTTTGTTAGATTTTCAAAGATTTATTGTAATAAGAAGTAGATATTCAGTCAAATTCAATATTCCCTTTAATTAAGACTATATTATTTGAGTATGGTTAATTTTGATTTGAAAATCATATACAGAAGTAATATTTTGAAAGGTTTTGCAGATTTTTCAAATAACTTTATAATAAAAAAGGAGACAATTTTCACAAATAATTTACTCAAATAAATGCATATATTTTATGTTAATTTAATTTTGTATAACAAAAGCCCCAGAATTAGAATATACGATATCATGATTTGATTGATTTTATACTATTAAATGAAATCATTTGTTAATTATTACATAATTATAGCTATATTTTGTCGATGTCTTACAATGCGTACAAAGTGTATGTCTTATTGATGTAACTGTAAGTATACTTTTAATTATTTAAATGCAATTACTGTATAAATTGTATTGAATAGTATACTTTTTCTATAAATATCTAAAACAATTCAATAAATAGCAAAAATTGATTAAAAAATAATTGATAGAAATATAATCATTTGATTGCATGCATTGTTCTTTACAAGCAATTAAATGATTTCTATAATATTACTATAATTACTATATAATATACGAATAGTTCACATTTTCGTGTAAAATCTAAATCAATTTACAAATCAAATGTATGTTATTTACAATAACTGATGTAATGACCCGTTTATTAACTAATTTTGAATGTATGAATAAGAAATTGAATGACTTTAAAAAGTTTATAAATAGACAAAATTTACTACTATTATCACCACATTATAAAACACAGACAATTTAAACTATAAATGTTTTCTAAATATCAATAATATCAAACTAATTGAGCATATATTCAACATTATTTGCTAATCGGGTCTCAAATGTTTAATCGCTATCTCTATAAAAGAAACCAAATATCAAATAAAAAGTTCTCGACTTGTCTTCCGATTCAAAACATTCCCCGAATTTTCACATTTGAAAGATTTATCGAAATTATATCCATTAAGAGTTCGAAGCGTTCAAAATGTTTGATTAAAATTTAGTTATTTATCTAAATCTTATAGTAGATTATATTCACTGTTATTTCAATGATATATTTATATTTATGTTCAAAATACTTAGTTATATAATTTAACTTATATTACTAATAAATAAGTAGTTCTCAAATACCTCTTAAAAATCCCTTTTAATTAATTTGACAAAAATCTAATTATGCCATCAATTGAAGAGCTTATGCAACAAAACTTTAAATTTAAACATCAGTTTTATGTTTACACTATTTGTATAAATATCAAAATTGATTGTAAATTACTAACTGTTAACTCGTGGTAATTAACGCACATTATATAATCCATTGAAATATATGTAACATTATTACTAATTATTTAATACAATTCATATTCAATAGAAATAAAAATTGTTGTAACAAATAATCATCGAATAAAAGCCAAAATTAAATGAAAATTTGACATTTTATTAAATCGTTTTTAAAGTTAATTTAAACATTTATAATTAAACTTGAAAGTTTTAACCGTCATGGTTTTAAGCATCATTTTATATGAAAATAATTTAATAAACAGTGTTTATTACAAATATATTTCTGTCAGCCATTTATTAGAATTTTAAAATATTTACGGTATTTATATTTTTCAAGAATATTTTTCAAAATTATTTTATATAAAAATTCACCTAAAATTATATTTATATAAAAAATATAATACATTTCATTTTGGAGTTAAGTATTTCGTTGATTGAACGGCAGAAGTGTGCGGAAAATGTGTGGATATCTTGTAATTAAAATATTGTATACTTTTAATGTTTCCTTAAATAAAATAAATAGAAAATAAGTAAAAATGATTTGAAGATCATTCGAGAGGTCCGTCGGTTTGAGCAGAAGAATTGACATTAGTTTGAGTGCCGACAGAGAGTGTCTTATAATTGTACTCGAATTGATCGGACGTTCGCGTGTCGTCCGACGAAAGTGAGTCCATAATGTCGTCTTCGGTGGTGTTGGTCGAGGCGTCCACTTTTGGACGCAGTTCTGTGTCGTCTCTCTCCACATAACTATATTCCGTTTGACAGCCATTAGTGGGCAGAGAATACGTGGCGTTTATGGCAGCGGTGACCGTCTCGTCGGAGAAGGCGCCCGAAAACTCACACGTCATGAGTCCCTGAATGTGTTCAGTACTGCCGTATTGGAGATCATTTTCCGAGCCGTTCACTAACAGTGTGTTCATGTCTTCGGCCATGTCTTGCAAAACAATTGATGCCCTTTCCATGTCTTCGTCCATAGATGCCATCGAGTCTTCGGTTCCATTTATATCGCTGTTGTGATGATATATGGTCTCAAACTCTTCATTTAAGCCTTCGGGCGCTTTAAACACAAAACGTTTGTTAATATTTAAAAAAAATAAAACAAAATGTCAAACAAAAAACCAAATCTATAGCCAAACGTTTTTTCGTACTTTTGTTTCTAAACTTATATAAAAATAGTCATAAGAGTTGAGAATTTTATTTTATTAATTTTTTTTACAAAAATTACATTTAAATATAAATAACTAATACTAGAAATTTTAAGATTTGTTTTAGAATTAAATGAAAGATAAAACATATATAATAAATGTCCGATAAATTCAACAAAATTTAATAATAAACCCAATTATTTGAGAATTAAGAGAGCGTTTAAATGAAATGAATGATTGCATGAGAATAGGATTTGTACGAAAAATGGCTATTAATTGGCTATAAATTTAGTAAAATTGTACGACTATTTGCTTTTTGTGATCTTATACTACAATACCCTCTGTATCACAATCTGTATCACTCGCTCCACTCACGACTGATTCGCTTCTTCTTCTCCTTCTTCGAAGAGTTCTTTCATTCGATAACTTTTTCACCACTTTTTTCGTCTTATTATTACATTTCGATTGCTTAACACTATTTGCAGTTTCTTTAGCCCTGAGAGAAGTTTGACGTCTACTTACAAATCGCTTCACATTTTTGTCAGTACTTTTCGAGTCATCACTTTTATCATTGGCTTTACTCTTATTTTGTTTGTTTTGCTCTCTTTTGAGTTTGGCTGCGATGTCGCGAATCTTCTTCAAGTGTTCCAGAGATCGAGTCAGACGTGTGTTGTTTATACTCGAAGACGAGGAGTCAGAGTTTGGCAACGATTCCGATGACGAAGAACTGCTGGAAGAAGAGGACGAGTGAAGACTTTCATTAGAAGGGCATCGACGCAATCGCTTGTGCTTTCTCTCGATGGCAATGATTTGTTGTTTAATCAGATGTTCTCTCTCTAACTGTTTGCTATCCTTCGGCGGCGAAAGTGGTCGCGAACTACGGGTCAGTACTCGTGTTTGTGTCGTCGGAATAGCTTTGGTTTTGTTGCCATTTCTCAACACTGTCTTCGGACGGCCGGGACTTCGCGATTCCCTCGCGTTCTTTGCTATGGATTTCGACATTTTCTTATTGTCACTCATATTGTGTCTCAAACTTTTGGCTTTCAATTCGTTTGTATTCAATAATTTTTTCGATTCATTTTTAATGCCTTTCTTTTCGGAATCACTTTCAAACTCACTGTCAAAGTAATAATCAATGAGTGGAACCATTGGACGGGCTTTCCTCTTCATTCGCTTGATTCCCATTTGACTAGAATTTGAATTCAAACTCTTGTTTGTGTCGGCCTTTCGGACGAACGCTTTATTGGATATTTTGGTTAATTTAGGCGAACATTGATTGAACACAACTGAATGGTGTGAACGCAATACCCGTTCAGAAGAATCGCAATTAGCATTCTTCGACTTAACCGTGTCTTCCGTTTTCTGTATTCTTTGATTGTATGAATGATTCCTTAACTGTTGTCTCGTTTGAATCCTTTCGGTTCCAAACAATTTCTCTTTAGAATTGTTTTCTTTAAAGGCTTTCGAAGAATCGATTTTCTTAATTACACTTTTGGACGGATTTGAAGATTTCCTTTCAATCCTCTGCTGTTTATACTTCTCTTTCAATGAATTAATGCTTTTATTATCGCTTTTGTTTGACTTAATAGAGATCTTTTTGAGTTGACTTTGTTTCAGGTTTGGCTCTAAATCTGATCCAATATTTTTGACACTACTTTTACAACTCATTGGAGTTCTTCTTATTTTCTGACTTTTATTGTTAATTAGCTTTTGTTCAGAAAATTTTCGATTTAATACCTGAAGACTGGTTCTACTGCTCAATGATGTGCTTTTGCTTACATTACTCGATGCACTGCCTCTTCGGTCATCACTGGATCTGATACGACAATTGGTATACTTGTCGTTCACTTCCGACTCATCTCCTGATATCTGCGAATCTGATTCCTCTTTCACGTCGTGTCCATTCCTATCACTATTAACTCGAGTGAAGTCCAGATTCGGTGGTAAAATGGATGACCGGCGCAGACATAGGAATGTGAGAAAGTCTTCGGTGTTTGGCTTAAGGTTTGGGAACAGTTCGACGACATTACTGGAAGCGACAAAACCGCCGCTCTTGACGGGCGTAGAGACCGGACTATTGACACCAAATCCTGAACTTTGAGCGAACTTTCTTTGAGCCGAAACTCTGGCCCTTCTGTGAGCCGCTAATGACAACAGATTGTCCGCAACTAATGACTGATTCCCCTCTTTGCAGATCACCGAATGGGAACTGTTGTGAGCAATAAGTTTTGAATCACTTCTGTTTGTCTTATCAGTGATGGACTGTTTCTTCTGGTTTGGTTCAAAACCTGTGTTAGACTTGAGTGAACTCTTCTTCACGTCTTGAAGTGACGCCAATAGAGCTCTCTTCAGGTCCTTGTCTTCAGACCAGACACTCGTCTGATTCTCATACGACTGGTATGTCTGAAGACAAACAAACAATGAGTTAATTGCAATCAAATGGATCCACAGATCAAAGACATACCCTCTGAGCGGCTCTTCTTTTGGGTCTTTTATTGTTATCAATGGTCTCATTGTCAGGCATTTCAATGATGGCATCAATTGGTGATCATATGTGAAGACATGACTACTAATGAGATAATGAACACAATATTATTGAATAACACATTATATTAGAGTTAAACACAAAAAACAATAACAAATATTACAGACAATTGAACACAAGTTTAGTCACTTTAGTCACGCTTTTGTCACTCAAATACTAAAACCAATGCATTATTCACTCAATACTAACACCAATAATACTCCACAATAGAGACCATACAGTAGTAGACTCTGCAGTGTATAGACTAGAGACTAGACTCCACTCCTAATACTCACAACCGGTTTTCGGTTCCCCGGCTATGGGTTTGGGTTGAGTAGCGATGCAGTGATGCGCTCAACACTCGCACACATCTGTACTCCACTGAACGCATCGATATATTCATCACTCGAGGCACTCATCACTTCCAGTATCACAACACTTGCCAAGAGGTCACCCATTCTTACCATTTCCTTGTCTTCTATAACACCGAC